CCAAATCTAATCCTCCTGAGGAACATCAGTGTTACCCATCTTATTACATAGCATCACCATCTAGTTATCTTAAACCATTCATTCACTCATTCATAAATATTTATTCACATAATAAGTTCTCTTGCACTTGTGCACTTACATTCTAATGAAAGTGAAACACAACAAATAAGGAAACAAGCACTTAAATTTCCAACTTTTGTTGGTGTTTTGTAGTAACCAATAGATGGACTCCTCTTGATAAAGTGGTCAGGAAAGTTCTTGTTGATATGGCTACATTTATGCTAAGACATAAATAACAATAAAGGATGACATTTGAAGAGTAGTTAGGGTAGAGGGAATAACAAGGGCAAAAGCCCTTGTTCAGGAAAAAAGCTTACATGTTTGAGGTATAGAAAGGTAACTAGAGCTTGCAGAGGACTAATAAGGCTGGAAAGGTATTCAAGGGCTAGATCATTCAAGGCTATGAAGGCTTGCAAAGGTATTTCCAAAAACAGCTTTATTGAGATATAATTCACAGACTGTACAGTTCACCCACTTAAAGTATACACTTCGATGGTTTTTAATATATTCGCATGAACATGCAATCTTCACCACGGACATTTTAGAACATTTTCATCACCTTGAAAAAAACTCCATCCCCCCAAAAAGAAGAAAAAAAAAGAAACCTAATACTCTTTAGCTATTACTTCCTAACCTTCCCCCCCATTCCCACCTCAGCCCTAAGCCACCACTAATCTAATTTCTGTCTCTATAGCTTTTCCTATTCTGAACTTACATATGAATGGCATCATATGTGGTCATTTGTGATTGGCTTCTTTCACTTAGTATAATGTTTTCAAGGTTCATCCATGTTGTAGCATATATCAGTATTTTATTCCTTTTTATAGCCAAATAATATCTCATTGTATGAAAATGCCACATTTTATTCATTCAATTGCCTATTGTTACAAATTTGCGTTGTTTTCACCTTTTGGTTACTATGAATAATCCTTCTATAAACATTTGTGTACAGGTTTTGGTATGCGCACACGTTTTCATGTCTCTTGAGTACATACCCAGGAGTGGAATTGCTGGGTTGTATGGTAGCTTTGTGCTTGATCATTTGAGGAACTCTCAGATGGTTTCCAAAGTGGCTGTACCATTTACATTTCCACCAGCAGAAATGGCAGTACGAGTGTTCCAAGTTCGTCACATCTTTGCCAACAGTTTTGACTCTAACCATTCTAGTGGGTTTCATGCAAAGGAATTTGGAAATAGAGAAACCTATGAGAAGGCCATTCCATTGGTTTAGGCAAGGGATCATGGCAGTCTGGTTTGCAATGTCAGTAGAGAAGACAGACAAAAAGTAGATTGAAGACAGAAGCCTAGAATTATCCTTGATTTCTGGCTCACCATTAGTTCACACATCTAATCAATGGCCACATCCTGTCAATTCTACCTCCTAAATGTTCCTAGGTTATGCCCTCAGCCACTGACCGCATTTCCCCTGCCATTTCCCTTAGTTGGCCACCATCATCTCTCCTTGAAGCTACTGCAATAGTCTCCTCACTGGTTTCCCCACTTCCCCATTTCCCCACATCAATCTGTTTCAGCAGCCAGAGTGATTTTCTAAAACACTGATCTGATCATCTTCTTTCCCTAATTAAAGTTTCTCACTGGCAGCCCATTGTCCTGAAGACACAGATTTAACTCCTTATAGGGATTTGTAAGGCCCTTCAGGATTTAGTTACTGCTACTTCTCCATCCCTTCTTCCCTTATCCTGACCTCCAGCCATACCTAACTCCTTCCAGAGCTTTAAATATTACTTGCCCTCTTGTCCACAGTACTTTATTTACTCTGTATCCTTTGCTTGGAACAATCCTTCCCCCAGTCTTTTCCTGGTTAACTGAGTCTGGTCCCTGGGGTCTCAGCTTAGATATCACTTTCTCCAAGAAGTCTTCCCGGATTCTCCAAGAGAGCTTAATAGGTTTCTATTAAGTGCCCCTCCCCCCAGCCTCCTGTGTTCACCTCTGCCGTTACATTTACCACACTGTGTTGCAATTGCCTTTTTATCTGTCTTTGTTCCTTACTAGACTGTAAATGCCTTAAAGGCTGGCTACTTGTCTTCCTCGTTGGATTCTCAGCACCAAGGACAGTTCTCGACATGCACTGGGCACTCAATCTGTATTTGTTGAATAAATTATCCCTTCACCATTTTGAATAGAGTTTGCTGTCTCCCTAGAAACACTTGCAGAAATACTTGCAACATTCAAGAATATGTAAGACTGAATTTTTAGGTTTTCTATTTTAAATTATAGATGATTATAAAACTTCAAAATTTTGTGTAGGTTTAACACAAAATACTCACAGATCTCTGATCCTAAAAAAAAAAAAATCCCTGAATCATCCATATTATGGATATTTTTGTTTCCCAAATTAGAAAAGGCAAATGGCCATCACCTGCACTTAAGTCAATCCTTCACTTTTATTTCCCTCACATTCTCTTTTTCTATTATGAATCTTAGCTATGTCTAAGTCAGTTTTCTACCCAGCCCTAAAGACACTGTTGGTACTTAAAAATATTAAATAAGAACAGTATTGTGTTGCAGGTTGTTGGATTTCTTCTGGAAAAGGGAGCAGATATCACCCTTTGCAATTACAACAATCAAACTGCAGTCCATGTAGCTAATTGTGATATCCAAAGACAACTTTTGGCAATCAATGGAATCCAGGCTCCCCAGATGCAACTTCTTCAAAGTTCATGGCAAGGTGATCTTGATCAGCTTCAACACTTGCTGGTTAGTTAAATTGATGTTTGTTTCTGGCTTTGGGTGGGTGGATGGGCAGGTGGTAAGAACAACACAGACTACATTTGACTCCTTTTAAAGAAAAAGTTCTTTTCAAATGCAGTCCCAGAAAGTTTCAGACAAGAGATATGAGAAAGAAAGAGGGTCAGACAGGGCGCTGGGGTGGAGAACAAGATAATAAAAGAACACAGCAGCAGCTTATTTCCATCTTCCTCCAGATGGATGTTAGAAGAAGTCATGCAACACCCCTGGGAAATGATGTGCTCCCAGGAAGCCCCCAGAGGACTACTGTCAACTTGCTCAGAGGAACTCCCTTGACATCATTGCCATTTGAACAATTGCTGTTTAGATCCCTTTGGACCAGTCACAGTTATAATCTTCCTGAAAAGGGAATCAGAGAGCCTATGCCTTACATAATATTTAGTTATGACTAAAGGAGTTAAGAGGATCCATTTTTAAAATGCTATCTTCTTGGGGTATTGATCCTCTTGTTTAGGTTTTCTACCTATAGATACTTTTCCCCAAAGCATCTTGCAAGATCATATGCTTAAATAAGAACATTAATTATTGGTGACTGGTAATTGCCTACTCTTGGCATTTACCTTCAAAGATTCCATCAGAACACATGGCCTTCCAACTGAAAGAAAATCAATTGCTGCTAGGAAACAGTTCTTCTAATCCCTTATGGTAAAGGCACAAACAGATGAAGAAAAACTAAAAAATATTTTAATCACACACTGCACAATGATATATATAGGAAAACCAAAGGATGCTTTAAAACCTTCCAACTGAAAGAAAATCAATTGCTGCTAGGAAACAGTTCTTCTAATCCCTTATGGTAAAGGCACAGACAGATGAAGAAAAACTGAAAAATATTTTAATCACACACTGCACAATGATATATATAGGAAAACCAAAGGATGCTTTAAATTCTTTTAATGTCTAAATGATAGTCTAAAATTGCCACACATCATGGACTGAGGCTTAGAATTTTTTGAAAGACGACAAATTTTATTTTAATGGTATTTTCAACACTTGTTATTGTAACCCAATGTCTGTTTTTATAACCATATTTTTCACCCCTAAAGATTAGCAACCAACTTTTAAGAAACTCGTGCCTATAACTGGATCCAGAGCTTAATCAACAGATGCTGAATTAATGTGCTATTGAAAGACTATTCTCATCTCAAAACATTCGTGTTTGGTTCTAACTAATAATAAACATTAACATAAGAGGTGGTTTCTTCTCAGAGACTGAAAAAAAAATTAATTAATTCCCACAGCACCCCACTGAAGTAATATCATTATCTCTGTTTTGTCCCTAGAGAAGCTGAGGTAGAGACACTGACATGGCATGAAGTGAAATAGAAATGGAAATTAGTGAATTGCTTTTGTCTATAAAATGAACAATTTGGCTATTTTGGCCTTTCAATGGCTTTTCAGTTCAGAATTATCCAAATTAAATTTTACTTTAAGACAACAAATAACATCTATATAATCACCTCCATTTGACTATATAAATACAGTTAAATGAACTGCCTTATTATTGTAAATCATTTATTCCTTCAACAAATGTTTATTGAGAGCCTACTATGTATCAGACACTCTGCTAAGTGCTTTTTAGATTCCATCTCTTATCATCCAAGCAACCCTGCAAGGAAGCCACTATTATGCCAGCTTTATAGCTGAGGACTCTGCAGGTCAGCAAGTAGGGTTGCCAAATTTTGCAAATAAAAGTATAGGACAACCAGTTAAATTTGTACTTCAGCTAAACAACAAATAAATTTTTAATATAAGTACATCCCAAATGAAAATTGTTCATTGCTTAACTGTGTGTCCCTTATTTTATCAGGGTGATTTGATCACCTGTTAACAAGGTGTCCCTGATATAACCTTTCAGAGAGGTTAAATAACCAGCTTAAAGAGCTAAGATTGAAACCCAGGTCAGTCTTTCAGGTTTGTGTGCTTTCACCTCATTAGCTCCCTCTAAGGATAGATATTGAGAAAGAATATATTGAAGTAAAAATGAAAAATTGGCCAAGTAGTGAAAATGCAAAGATTAATATGAATAGCCATATGGTAAAAGCAAAACAGAAATAAAGCTTCAGGTTTTTAAAGGCATCTGAAGAGTTCCTGGATATAAATTTCCCAAACCAACATGGCTTGACCCCTCTGATGCTGGCTGTGAGAGATGTGGACCTGTTTGAGAGTCTCGACATGTTAACAGTCTACAGACCCATGGAAGTTCTGTCTGAGCTCCTCAGGCATCGTGCGTGAGTATCAGTGCCCAGTCAGCACCATGCAAAGGGCATCTGTTTCATTGTTGTTTACAGAAATCGCTAGACATAGTGATTGTTTTCTATTTTGTATATTATTAAATTCACATGCATCATCATAAAAATGACTTTGCAGTTGCAAAGTGATGTGCAGATGTTAAAGTCTGCTATGTATTATTCTAATGATATCTGGCCTTTTATTTTATTTATTTAAATAATTACTGTTTTGGTAGTTACTTGGAATGTCAAATAAGTCTTGAATATGCAGCTCCCTAACCTCCAAGTTGTTACTAATTATTTCAGAAAACTCTGTCAATCTATCAAAAGCAATTTATAATAGTGATTACTGGATCTTAAAATTACTCAGTGCCAAATGCTCTTTTATAAGGGGGAAGGTAAACAATTAACTTCTTTAAAAAAATAAGAGAGTTAATAAGCAGTCTCTCATGTTAGAATTGCAGTTTCTCAATGCCGTTACCTAGATATCTTGTGATCAGATAAGAACAGATGGCTCAAGTTCTTAATATTTCATATGAATTTTGTTTTGGAAAAAACAAGGAGGAGGGAGCTTCAAGAACAAAAGTATAGTCATGAGCATTAGCTATGGTAAAAGGATCAGTTAGTATAATGAAATGAAAATGGAATTTAGAAGCTACCTTCAGACTTTAGTGTTAAGAAGCAACTGGGGCCATTGTTAAAAATGGAGATTACTGAACACCACCCTGGAGATGGTTTTCAATAGGTCTGGTGTGGGGTCCAGAATATAGGAGCTGAAAGGATGCCTCTTACAGAAACACCAATCTAGGCAGATGAGCAAACTGAGGTTCCAACGAGTTAAGTGACTTGCTTAAGGCCACATGTCAAGGCAGTGGCAGCCCCATCCTATGCCATTTATTTTGAATCATGATCTTTGATGGAGAAAAGGCTACAAGAGAATATTATTGCGGCTCATTCACGTTACCCTATCCCATAACAATCCAAAGATTCAAATTCAAAGGTTTTAGGTTGGAGTCCATGATCAATTTGTTCCTTGTCCCAGAATGTGACAAGTGAATTTTCATCATTGTTTTCCTTGCCATAATCTGTTAATAGGATTCTCATCTTTTACCCTTTGGATCTCTCTGAGCCGATATCTAATGCTAGGATTCAGTACAGCATAAATAGGATAAGAAGATATGTGCTACTGCAAAGAGCCCTAAGGTCAGCCAGTTGGGCTTAACAATCAAAGAGCAAGGCAAAAAAGAACGAAAAGATCATGTAGAGAGGAGCACTTTGGATTTTATGACAAGATCACTGCACTCAACCAAGAGTCTGTGAAATAAGCATATCAGCTTAATTTTAAAGAGAACGTCTATGCCATTTCACCATTTTGAATGATAAAAGAGCTGGCTGTTAGCATTAGAAAAAAGAAACATAAGCAGTTAGCTTATCATTGGAAAGAAGAAAACCCAATCAAGTCAGCTATTTGGAATGATAAGACAACAATTTATGTTGTCATCTTTACTTGATATATGCACCCTTAAAGAATTATGAAAATTTTTGTCCAAAGTTGAAAATTTTCTACAAATCTTTGAATGTTTTTAGGATGGGGATGAGAATAAAATATAGAGAATATTCCTTTTATTTAAAATCTTGAAAAATTGTCACCCTATATCTCATACATTTAAAAATCATTATTATCCCCAAACTACAGATTATTTGATGTCAGTGTCTTTTTTCTCCCATGTTGGTTTTCTTTTTTGACAGGTTTAACTAAATAATCTTTGATGCTGATTCTGTTTTTCCTAGGGATCCTAAACTCTGTGATTTTAGTGGAAAATCAGCAATACACTATGTGTCACAGATAGAGAGTTTGAGGAAACAGCAGTTATTGGACATTCTAATGAATTCTGTGCCAAAGCCAGGTAAATATGTCTATTCCACACACACAATTCCCCAACTATAAAAGCTCTATTAGAAGTCTTTCTTTTTCTGCATCTGTTAATGGATCCATTAAAAGAAATTAAGCCAACAACTATTAATTAAGCAGTGACTCTGGACAAGGCCCATGATCAGGTACTCTGAGTGATGCAAAGAATCTAATGCACAGTCCAAACTTGTGAAAGTATACAGTATGGTCAGGGGCACATCACATAAGCCAGAGGAGAAAGTGCTTGCTATAAACTTGAAAGGGGAAGAAAAAGTTATAGTGGTTCTTGAAGGCTGGCTAAGATATAGGAAGGTTTGATATAGGTAGGGGAAAAGAGTCTGGGCAAAGACACAGAACAGCCACAGAGAAAGGTACAATGAAAAGCATGCCACTGAGAAGCATGTGGCTTTGTGAAAGATGCTTGACTTTTTTGTTTGATTCACTTTTTGTTTGAAGCTTCTGGGGCAGGAGGAAAGGCTATCCCTACAAAGGTTTCCTGGAAGAGGCGAGACTCAATCTGATTCTTGAAAAAAGGATAGGATTTGATTTTTGTGGCACAGAGGAACCATGCTGTGAATGAGCACAGCTTATCCCAGGGGCAAATGGAAGACTGGATCTGAAAGTTCATGTCAGAGAAAAAAGAACCAAAGATCAGACACAGAAAGAAACTGCGAGAGCCTTAAAGGTCAGGCTAAAGGACATATAAAGAATTTTAAGCCAGAGAATGGTGAAAGCCATGTTTTAGGAAAATTAACCTGTTCTTGCTGTGTAGGATGAATTTGAGGGAAAAGGCAGGGATCACTATTAGGAAAGAATAGAAGTGCCCATATGTGCGGTGAAAGTAAAGAGAAAAAGAGTCCTTGGGTGGGGTGTGGTGGTGGGTCTGAGCAATGCTGGATATGGTGAGTCCAAGAGATATTGTGAAAGAACAATTCACAGAACTCAGATAGAGGAGACACAGAGACAAACATTGAGAGAGTTAAGGCTGAGATGATTCTAAAGTTTCAGTCCTGGGAAGTGAGGAGATGAAGAAACAACCAACAAAATGGGAGAACATTCTGCTTTGGTGAGGATATTGAACAGGAGGGTAATGAGTTTAAAAACATTGGATTTAATAAACGATTGGAACTTTCACGTAGCAATTTTCTATAGGACAGGGCTTGTGGGAAAGGATGAGTTAACATTTAGTTTGTGAGTTCTCTATAGAAAGGAAGTTGTGAGGTCCTGACAATGGGTGAGATTGTTGAAGGATTGATGATGATGAGAAAATTGCAGAGGGCTGAACAAGGAGGTGTACCTGCAGTTGAAGAGTGGGAGGAGGAGAATCAAGAGAGAATTGCAAGAAGGAAGGAGAGGAAAACGATGTCCAATTGGAAAAGAGATCACAAAGCAGCTGTGGTAAGGCAGTGAAGTTTCAATGAAAGTGTGGAGGCAGAAGATAGATTGCGGTGGGTAAAGAAGAAAAATATGTGAAGAAATGGAGGGTCTGAATATAGATCACTTGTTCAATTTTGTTTCAGCTACAAGATGAATGGAAGTGCTATTAGAAGAGGAAGAAGTTTTCATTGAAAAGAGCCCATGCTTGAAGAAGTCAGGATAGCGGGGGTAGGGGGTGGGGGAAAAATGTGAGAGCAATGCCCCTTGGGAACTAATTAGGAGTCACTGTTTGGTGTTCAGAACTCTGTCAGTTTCATGTAGCTTCAAGTGCCAGCAGGTAGTGTGCTCAGAGTAGCTGAATGCCTTTTTCCTTGGTAACTGTGCAGCAAATGTGATTTCCAGCTCATCATTAGGGGTTTCACTTAGCAACATTGCCTAAAACAAATTAGTTAATCCCAAATGCTTGAAGTGATAACAGTTGGTCACTATTTATTAAAATTCCTGATATCTCTCCTTTTGCTAATTAAAGAAAAAAGATAATGTCATCTAAATTTTTTAAATTACAGGTTCATTTGTAATGCCCTGTATTGCTCTTATTTCAGTTGTTAGCCATATTGTGTAGAGATCATCCCCACTTCGCATGAAATGACAACAGATGCTCCACAGCAGTGTGGAAACTCAGAGAAGGAAAGTCCAGTACTGATTGAGCCAGCATTAAGTCTTCACTAACCTGGACAGTGCATAGAAGTGCTCCAGGATTTAGTTGGAAGAAATTGAGAAGTTTCTTTTTCCAATCTTCCACAAGGGGAAATCCTTGATGGGGGTCATCCTCGGGAAACATGAAGGACACCTAGGACAGGTGTCCTTCTCTGTGTGTGGGCCTCTGGAGAAGTGGGGGCTATAACCTCGAGCCAACTGTTGATGGTTTTAATGGTTAAAAAGTCCTTCATGTCCCACCACCCCACAGAGGGTGTTGCAATGAAGATGTAGACATTAAGTATGAGGTGATTGGATTTATGTTGAACCGAAATCTGACTCATGGTTACTTTTAATTTCTCATAGTGTTTAAAATTTGGTAGGTGCTCAGATGTTGATTGATTTTACCCTCTCTTAAAAATATTTCACTTGCTCAAAATCTCAAGGTATCTGTTTATTTTTTCTTCTTAATTAATAGCAGTTACCACTAAAGCATTTTTTTTTAACCTAAATCAGCCATTCTGTGGACTCTTGTTGTCCTCACATCTTTGTGTGAAAATTTTGCCTAAAGCTTCATCAGGATCCCAGACCATTATTTTAGGAAAATCTTTGACAAAATGGAGTTAGTTTTAGAACCTAGAGCTGGATCTTCCTGTGAAAATTGCTGGCGATGAATCTTATCAAAACACATTATTATGTTTCCTTTGACAGAAAGACATGCTGAATCAGTGCTTGACATTTGTCATGATATAAACTCTCCTCCAACTTATATGATGACAGTTACCAAAAATCAAAACATAATCTTGCAAAGCATCAGCAGCAGTGAGGTAAGGTGCTCTCTTTAAAGAAATAAACAAACTAACAAAAAATGGATAACCTGCTCCATCTACTACTTCAGTGTGTTGCTTGAATATTTTGTAACAATCATATATTACAATTATATTTTTAGATGTAATCATAAAAAAATTTAAAGCACAATTAGTAAGACTCTTTTCTGAGATTTCAATCTCAGAGTAGTAATTATCTAGTCAACTCTGAGTCTCATGCATGGGTGGGTGTGTGTGTGTGTGTGTGTGTGTGTGTGTGTGTGTGTGTGTCTTAGGCTGTTAGAATGAGTACCATAGACCAAGTGGCTTACAAATGACAGGAATTTATTTCTCACAATTCTGGGGACTGGAAGTCTGAAATCAAGGCACTAGCATGGCTGCGTTCTGGTGAGGGCCCTCTTCTGGGTCACAGACTGCCAACCTCTCCTTATTTTGAAATAATTATAGACTCACAGGAACTTGCAAACATAGTACAGGGAAGCACTGTGTACCCTTCACCAGCTTACCCATTGGGGACTGTTGGGAAAATAAAATAGTTTAATCAGGGCCCCTTACCTTGGGTCTGGTTGGGGGTGGTGCGGTGCATTCTTCGTAAAGGAGTTGTGTGTGGATGGAGTTAGTGCGCATGTGCAGTGCCATGGCTTGGCTGGCGTCTACTTCCTCAGGCAGCCACCGCACGCAGCGATACTCTCGGACCTATGGCTCCGAGGACCTTTTGGCCGGTTACCTAGTTCATAGACCTTCATGTGAGGAGTCTGGTGACCTAGCCTGGCGTGTGAGGGGTTGGGGACCCAGCCTGGTGTGTGAAGGGTTTGTGACCCAGTCTGTGAACAGGCTTGAGGGGTCTGTGAGCTCCAGACCCAGCCCTAGGTTGACAACTGGCCCAGTCGGCAGGATTATGGGCAGGTAAAATAGCTCAACAATTGACTACATCGGGAGGATTCTGACATTAGCCAGAGCTTTATAGGGACTATTATCATAACTATAGTACATTATCAAAATCAGAAAATTCACCTTGACACAATGTAAGTAACTAGATTACAGACTCAGATTTCACTAGTTTTTGCACACAAAGAAAAACTTTCTTTCTCTGTTTTGTGTGTGTATGTGCACGTGTGTGTTTATCTGTGTGTACATTTCTATGACATTTTATCTCCTGAATCACCACAATCAAGATACAGTCCTGTTCTGTCACCACAGAGGAATTCCCTCCTTCTACCCCTTTATAGGCACACCCTCCCCTCTTCCCTAACCCCTGCCTACCACTGATCTGTTCACCATCTCTATAGTTTTGTCATTCCAAGAATGTCATATAAATGGAATTATTACACATGTAAACTTTTGAGATTGGCTTTGGCTTTTTCTATTCAGCATAATGATCTTGATACAGATCCAAGTTGTTATGTGTATTATTTTTTTTATTTTCCAGTTTCTTATTATTGCTGAGTAGTAGTCTATGGTATGGATGTTTCACAGTTTGTTTAGACACTTACATGTTGAAGGACATTTTGGTTGTTTCTAGTTTTGGGATATTACAAATAAAGCTACTGTGAACATGTATGTACAGGTTTTAGTGTGAACGTAAGTTTTTATATCTGTGGGATGAATGTTCAGGAGTCCAATTGTTGGGTCATATGGTAAATGTATATTTAGCTTTTTAAGAAACTGCCAGATTTTTCCAGAATACATCTACCATTTTATATTCCCACCAGCAATAAATGTGAGATTCAGTTTCTCTGCACCCTTACCATCATTTGGTACTGTCAGTATTTTTTATTTTAACCATTCTAATAGGTGTGTAGTGATAACTCATTGTGCTTTTGTTTTTATCTTTATTTATTTATTTTTTTGAGGGGGAGGCTGGACAGTATGAGGATTTGAACTCTTGACCTTGGTGTTGTAATCTCATTGTGGTTTCTCTTTTTAATGAATTCATTTTTTATTATGAATATTCATGAGATACAAAGCTGATTGTGACCCCTCCTGCCCATGCTGTGAGAGCCAGATTCATACTGTCATTTTGGTTTTAATGTACATTTCCATATGACTGATATTGAACATTTTTTCATGTGTTTATTCACCCTCAGTGTAAATTGCCTGTTTAACTGTTTTGACCATTTCCTAATTAAATTTTTTGTTTTCCTACTGTTTAGAGAATTGGGGTTTTTTTTGACAATTTACAAAACATTTATTCACAGCACAAATGTATCAACATTACAAATAAGAAAAAGAAAAAATGAAGAAACTATAGCAATCCATAATTTTGGGATAGTGCAAAATTTTTTAATCTTTTTATTTTTCATTAGCATATTCATTATTACAAATCGTACTTTATTCTTTATGACCCTTATCCAATCTCTCCCTTTCTCCCTCTTTCTCCCCTCTTCTCTACCCCCTCCTCTTCCCTCTCCTCCTACCCCCTCTAATAACCACAGATTTGTTCTGTCCATCTTATAGATTAACTGTTCTTCTGTTGGTTTGTTGCCTAGATGATCTGTCCAGTACTGAGACAGGTGTGATCAAGTCCTCCCCTATTACCGTAAAGATGCTTCTTCTATTGCTCTGGAGTGTGCTTTGTGGAGAGAGAGAACCTCTTCTTTTTTTTTTTTTTGTCTCTGCTGGTGCCTCTCCTTGTGTCAATGCAGTTGAGAGTCTGGCAAGCCATCTGCACTGTGGCTGTGACTGCTGCTATAGAGACTAGACACTTTTGTGGCAGCCATGGAAACTGCGGTGACCATGGTGGGCTACCTGTGTGGAAATGGTGTTTTTGGTGTGCTCTTTACCTGGTTGTGGCTGGGTTTGGCTTCCCCTGGCTCCATGCCTCAGGACTTCAGTGGGGCCCAGGGCAGTGTCAGCTTGCCTAGTTGCAGCTGGGTTTGGCTTCCCCCAGGAGAATTCTTTATATGTGATTCACAAATATTTTCTCCTAATCACTGAGAAAAACTTGACTTGTTTTTTTTTATCCTGTCAATCTTTTATTGAAAAGAAGTTTTAAGTTTTAATGAAAACCAACTATTTTTTCTTGTATGGATCATGTCTTTGGTGTCTCATAGTTCTTCACTCTCCCTAGGTCATGATTTTATCCTGTGTTCTCTTCTAAAAGATTTATAGTTTCACATTTTGCATTAGATCTGGGAGCCTTTGTGAGAATCCGTACCTGGCCCCTCCCTCCTGCTTTTCATTTCCCACATTCCATTCCCTCAACACCCTCTTAAAAAAACCCTCAGTAAATCTGAGCCTTTGAGATGGTTTCAGTCTGGCCATTCTCCTTTAGGTTTACAGAAGATATGGGTTAGCCTAACATCTCTCTTCGGGTCACCGGTACTCCTGAATTAAAGCTGACTTCCATTTCAACAAAAACAACAAAAAGATGTATTGCAAAGAACTATGGAAAAGCTCAGGAATTAGAGGCATCAAATACTGCAGAAGTTGGGGGTTAGCATGAGGTTGAAAAAGAGGGTTTGGTTGAAAGTCTGTAAAAGAAGCAGAGAGATCCCCAATATTCTACTTCCACTCGATGTAACCACACCTCTATTTCACTTCCACCACCACAGAAGGCAGGAAGATTTTGTTGGGGATCATTTGAACTGGAGTAGTTCTGGACTTAGTGACGAGATGCATGATGAAGGGTGAGAGCAAGTTCTCAAACTGTAGGCTTAAACTTGAATATTGACAGAGAGATTGTATCTATCCTCCTTCCCCACCCAGCTCCTGTATGGCCAGCAACCAGTTGATACTAGTGAGCCAAAAGGTGCAAAGATAATTTTCTGAAGATATTTAATGACCACAGAGAATAGACCTACAGATATACTGACATTTTTAAGTTCCCCAAAACAAAGCATTTCACCGTCAGATCAAACCCAATGAAACTTGCTAACAGATAAACTGCACCATACATAGAGAACTTCTAATCAGATTTTTAGTGTCTTTTTTAAAATATGAACAGATATCCTCAGCTATCCAGGTATTTGAGGAAAGCCTTCAAATAAAAGGTAGAGTCAAAACAACAACAACAACAAAGGAATCAGATGAAATGGAGAGCACAAAGAAATGAAGAGGAGGAAATAATATGAAAAAACAGAAAGAAGAAAAAAGAAAATATCCTAGAACGAAAGGGTATGAGTTTTCAAATTTAAAGTGTCCATCTAGTCTCCAGTACAATGACTAAGAAAATCACCCTAAAGTATTGTGAAGTTTTAAAGCACTGGGGCTTTAACACAATCCTAAAAGCTTTCAGAGAAAGAAAGAGATAATATACAAAGGGTAATGAACTAGAACGGCACCAGATGTCCTAAAATACTATTGGAAGCTACAAAAATATGGAGCAACAAAGACCTCAGCACTGAAAATAATAAAATGTTACCGAAAAATTTAAAGAAGATTTAAATAAATGGAACAATGTAATATGTCCTTGGATTGGAAAATTTAGGACATATTTTGTAAAGATGTCAATTTTGCTCAAATTAATCTGTAAATTCAACATAGTCTTAATCAAAACCTAGCAAGTTTGTGAGTTTATGGAAATCGACAAGCTGATTCTGAATTCATAAAGGAAGGTAAAAGGCTGAAAATAGTGAGGGCAATATTGTAACATAGTCTTAATCAAAACCTAGCAAGTTTGTGAGTTTATGGAAATTGACAAGCTGATTCTGAATTCATAAAGGAAGGTAAAAGGCTGAAAATAGTGAGGGCAATATTGAGGAGCAAAGTTGGAAGATTTAGGCTATCAGATATCAAGTTATATTATAAAGCTATATTAATTAAGATATTGTGGTATTAATACAAAGATAGAGAAACCAGTCACCTGTTTTATGGCAAAGCTCATGCTGCAGTGCAATGGGGAAAGGATGGTATTTTCAATACGTGAAGCTGGGTCAAATGAACACCTACACAGAAAAAAACTGTATGTTGACCCCTAACTTACACCTTACACAAAATCAATTTCATATTGATTGTAATTGTAAAATGTGAAAGATAACATGCTAAAGCTTTTGAAAGAAAACACAGGAGAAAATCTTTGCGACTTTGGAGCAGTCAATGATTTTCTTAAACAGAACAGAAAAAATGCTTACCATAAAAGAAAGGTTGATTTTAAAAAATATATTAAAATTAAGTACCTCTGTTTACCCAAAGACACCATTAAGATAATAAAAAGCCACCCACAAAGTGAAAAAAGATGTTTACAATATATGTATTTGACAAAGAACTTGTATGCAGAATAAATTAACTACTCCCACAAATCAAAGACAGATAGGCTAATAGAAAGTGGGCAAAAGACTTGATCAGACACTTAGCAAAAGAAGATGTCCAACTGGCCATAAAATATATTAAAAGATGCTCAACTTTTAGTCATTGGATAAGTGTAATTTTAAACTACAATGTGATAACACTGCACACACACACCAGAATGTTTAAAATTTTAAAAGTTGGGAAATACCAAGTGTTGATGAGGATGTAGAGCAAACAGAAGTCTCATACACTGTTGATGGGGGAATGAATTGTTAGGATAATTTTGGAAAGCTGTTTGTTACTCTCTGTAAAAGCTGAATATAGGCATAATCAATGAACCAGCAATTCCACTCCAAGTACATACCCAATAGGAAATGCTTACATGTGCTTACCAAAATATGCATACTGGAATGATCATAGTAGCACCATCATAATAGCCCCCAAATGGAAACTACCCAAAGGCCTATCAACAATGGAAAGAATATATTCAAGTACATCACCTGAGTAAAAACAAAAACACAACGCAAAGGATAATATGTAGTATATTCACATAGTGAAAAACTATCATAAATGAGAATGAAAACGAATGATTTAAAATTACACACAAAAATATAGGTGAATTTCACAAACATAATGTTGAGCAAAAGAAGTCAGACATAAGAGTAAATACTGCATGATTCCATTTATATAAAGTACGAAAGGAGACACAACAAATCTATGGTGTTAGGATTCAGGATAATGGCTGCACAAGAGTCCCTTGAGGATGTTAGTAGTATTCTTTTACTTGACCTGGGTCCTGGTTACACGAGTGTGTTCAACTTATAAAAATTCATGAATCTATACACTTATGACACATCCACTTTTCTGAATGTATGCTACACTTAAAGTTAAGGAACAGGTGGGGGAATGGAGAATGCCTTCAAATACCTGAGAAAAAAATATGGTTTTCAAACTAGGTAAACCAGACAAACTATCAATCAAATATGTATTAGAGTTGAATAAAGACATTTTTCAGACACACAAACTCTCAAACATTTTACTTCTCATTCACCCGATAAGGAAGCTAAGTACTCTATTAAATTAAGGGAGTAAATAAAGAAAGAGGCAAAAATGAGATCCCATGATTCAGGGCATCTGGAATCCAACACAAGAGAGAAGAGGGAATCATTGGTGTAATGGAAAAGGCAAGTCCTGGGACTTCAGTCATGAAGCACATCTAGAGAACAAAGCACTCAGAGAATTGGGGAGGGGAGGGCTGGGGGGATAGGAGAGGCAGGAAGAGCAGGATAATGAAGGAGGGAAATGGAACTGATGTATTATTTGATGTATTTGACCAAGTGAAGAGACCACTGGAGGTTTGGAAGATTTAGGCATTAAAAAAAATTAAAAAATATATAAAACAAATCAGTTAGAAATAAAAATACTAGGGTTAGTGGAAGGGAGTGATGAATAGGTGGAGCACAGAGGATGTTTAGGTCAGTGAAACTATTCGGTATGCTACTATAATAGAGGATACATGTCATTATACATTTGTCCAAGCCCATAGAATGTACACCAAGAATTAACCTTATTGTAAACTATGGACACTGGGTGACAATGACACGTCAATGAAGGTTCATTGATTGTAGCAAATGTACTGCTCTGGAGGGGGATGTTGATAATGATTATGCATGTGTGGGGCAGGGGTATAAGGGATGTCTATGCACCTTATCAATTTTGCTGTGAACTTAAAACTGCTCTGAAAAATGAAGTCTATTTAAACAAACAAACAAACCAACAAACCAACAAACAGGGGTTTAGGGTTTTGTCCAGGAGAAAAAAAGTTATACAAGAAAGAAAGTATAATAATTAGTACACCACCATTTTACTACTTCATAGTACAATACCCACATAATCATAATTTTTTTTTTTTCCTTTTTGTCTCTTTTTTTGTGACCGGCAACGGATCGCAACCCTCAGTGTCGCGCCCGTACCGGACCGGGACCGGCAACGGGATCGCAACCCTCGGTGTTGCCCCTGCACCTCGCTCAGCCAGTGAACGGCCGGTCTGTATGTGGGATCTGAACCCTCGGCAGGAGCGCCGCTGCGCTTCCCAAGCGGCGCACTGTAGCAGTGCACCACTGGGCCAGCCCCCCACATAATCATAATTTGTACTTAGACAATTGCTTGCCTTTTTTTTTTTGGTGGCTGGCCGGTTATACTTTGACTATTGATTCAACATTAAAAGAAAGAGTACATTTACTGGGAGGATGTGGGCAGTGCATAAGAACATTAAATTGTCAACTACCATAATAAGAAGTCAACAGATAATGTCTCACCTCTATGGCTCAAGAGATGTCATGATAATTATCTGGAGATATGGAAGAAAATGCCAAAAGAAACAGCAAAAGTTTAAAAGCAGTTGCCTCTGAGGGAAAGAATGGGGAAGAAACTGATTACTTCTTGTAATGTCTTTTACTGTTATTCGATTTTTTTTCAATGGGCAGTTTGATTTTGATAAAAATTAAGTAAAAATTAAAAATACAGAAATGGTTAAATCAAGACTTCTCTGGGGCAATGGGTGGGATAAATTAGAATAGAATTATAATTTTTTAAATACTATTTGAATATTTTAACTTTGTGCATTCTCAACAGATTCTGCTTCTTCACAAAGAGGCTTTAGTGTCCTGCTTCTCAATGGGGAGCCGTTTTGTCCTCCAGGGGACATTTGGCAATGTTTGCAGACATTTTTGGTGTCTTAACTGGGGAAAATGCAATTGGCGTCTAGTGGCTTGAGGCCAGGGATGCTGCTAAACATTCTACAATGCACAGGACGTGCCCCCACAGCAAAGAATTATCTAGTACCCCAAATGTCAATAGTGCTGAGGCCGAGAAACCCTGCTGTGAAGTAGGTTTTGTCACAATTAAAGATTGGGATGTTTTGGTTGTTAATATCATACAGTAATCAAAATAAAATACCTAGAGATTGCTCTTAAACTTGAATGTCATGACTCGAAACTGATAAACAAAAACACATTTACTTTTCATTTTGTATGGTATATTTAAACAATTTTCAAAAGAACTAAAAATCACTTAATATTAGTTCATTATTTTTCATGCAACTTTAAAACTTTTTTTGAACTTTCACTATATATTTTTTCTTATTGTGGTTGAGATAAAGTTTGAACTCACTTTCGAGGGTTTAAATAGACTTTTTCGTTATTGAACTTGCCTTTTCTTCCTTAGTGCTTTCTCTAGGGTTTAAATTGCAAAGCCCAAGGTTATCCTTCACTTCTTTTCTTTGAATGAAAGAAAGCTTGCTTTTCTTCTTGGTTGTCTAAAATAGGTTTTTATAGTGTAAAAATAACATCAGCTGCCTCACTTGTAGTGCTGCTCCTCAGAGGCTCTATAGACTCTCCCAGTCTTTTTTCATCTGAGGAGAATCTTCTTTCCAAATTTAATTATTTCTCTGTTGCTTTTCTCTTCTGTATGTTCGGCACTCTGTTGTCTGCAGGTTAGAATGCTATGCTCTATTTCTCATCCATCTTTCACCTCCTGCATGGTTGTCAGTGGTTTATGAAATTCATCTGTGTTTGGGATTTGCTATTCTAATATTTTCTCTCCTTCACTCACTACTAGGTGTCATTATTTTAGTTTTCCTTGTGGCACCCAAGCACATCTTGAAAGTCTTTCATGCTTAGCATTCTAAAAGAAATCAGAAAATTCTGAGCTGCTTCTGCTTTAGAGTCTTCATTTCCATGTTTACCTTTGAAGTACGTCTTATTCTCTTCATCCTTTTCGTTTGTGATGCTTATGGTTTTTCACTTTATTCCAGGGCAAAATTTTTTGTCAGGCCGTTATAGGTATCACACATATTTTTTTTTTCCTTCCTGTGCATAACTTTTAAGTGAGGTTTGAGTGTCCTTTATTTTCATTTTGCTCATTGTTTGATTCTTTTCTTTCTGGCTCTTGCTGAAATTCTTTATTTCAAACCTTTCATGGTAGCAAGATAGCAGAGTGGTTATAGGCCCTGGAACCAGACCAGAGTCTGGGTGTAAATCCTGGCTCTATTTTTGGCTAGCTGTATGACCTAGGGTAAGTTTTTACTTTTCTGGATCTCATGTATACAGTGAAAATAATAATTGTACTTTTACAGTTGTGAGGAATAAATGAGTTAATATATGTGAGGTGCAAAGAACACTTCTGGCACTTTATATGTAAATATTAGTTATTGTTATAGATTTTGGAGGTAGGTATACCCAGCTCCTCTGTTTTCCAACTTTTCCTAAAGGACCAACTGATAAATTAATTGAGCAGTTGAGACTGATAACAACCCATTAATCACTATAGAAACTTGACATGAGAACCAGTTGTATACTTAACACTTCCAAATGACGGCTGCTATTTTCCCAAAGTTTGGCATAAAAATTTCATTGAATCGCTGTATTTATATGAAATGGTAGAAATATGTTTTGAAGTCTCTTGGAGTGGTCTTGACTAAAGATTTGAACAAAACCTATATGTACTAAAAAGGAAAATTCATATGGTTGATAAGCATCTGAAACTATCACCAACTTTTCTTTTCTTTTTTTTTAAACGGCTCTTTATTTTTTTATTTTTTATTGTCTTTTTGTGTGTGTGTGTGACCGGCCGCACCGTGCTCAGCCAGTGAGTGCACCGGATATAGGATCCGAACCCGTGGCGGGAGCGCTTCTGCGCTCCCAGTGCCGCACTCTCCCGAGTGCGCCACGGGGTCAGCCCTATCACCAACTTTTCTATTAATCAAAGTATGCACATTCAAATAACAGTAAGATGGGGCCGGCCCGGTGGCACACTGCTGCAGTACGCCGCTTGGGAGCGCGGCAGCGCTCCCGCCGAGGGTTCGGATCCCACATACAGACCGGTTCCCGCTCACTGGCTGAGCGAGGTGCGGGCGCAGCACCGAGGGTTGCGATCCCGTTGCCGGTCCCGGTCCGGTACGGGCGTGACACTGAGGGTTGCGATCCATTGCCGGACACGAAAAAAAAAAAGACAAAAAAACAAACAAACAAATAACAGTAAGATGACTAATCCCATATATTATATTAATAAAAATGAAAAGTGATGATAATTGATAAGGGAGAAGATGTAGTGAAATGCTCTTGTGCACTGCTGGTGGATTATAAATAGGTATTAACTTTACTTTTCAAACAATGTATGTAAAAAAACAAAATTTTTCATACTCTTTGGATCAATAATTCCATATCTAGGAATCTACTGTAAAGAAATAATGCAAAATTGGAGTATTAATTGCAAAGATGTTCACAGCACTGTATGATAATGAAGAATTAAAAACTCCCTAATTAGCATTATGGGGCTTACATTGTAAGAAACATTATTCTGACCCTTTGATAGGTATTTGTTGAAGGAAAGAAAAATTTAAATTCTATTAAAATGGTGCTTACATAGTAATTGCTTATGAATTTATGCTTGTCTTAAGTGATACAAAAATTACGTGATGCAACTATACTTTTAAATACTTAGGAAAAAGACAAATGAAATATAATTTCTATGTTACAGTGTTTGCTTTTTAGTTGTCAGACGATAGGTGATTTTTTTCCTCTTGCTTTTTAAGAAATACTTTTTTGTACTTCCACATATTCTAAAAAGGGTAAATTTCCCTTTGTAATTGGATGGGAGGAGAAAGCATTTTCCAGATAGCAGTAGAATTTTTGAAATGCAGAGAAGGATAAGCAGAGAAATTGACAACAGTCTAGGAGCAGGGTAAACCCATCTACCATGGACAACCAGGGTGTTTTGAAATAGGGCACCTAATCTTTGCCAGGAGATAGAAAATGCTTTAAAAAGTATGAACTGCTGCAGAAAAGTAAAATATGACAACTAAATTATGATGGAATACCTAAGATATTTTTAATGGCAGTATAAACAACTTTTATTATTTTCTATGATAATTAAAATGAACAAAGAAAAAAAAATTTCAAGCTCTCTTAGGAATTAAGAAATGAAATGTCAGAGGCTTTTTGTGAGTGGTTGCTTGTCTGAACTGTCAGATGACAGGTATCTGCATTTAGGGCAAAGACTTTTTACTCAACTGTCCCCTCGAATAGGTGGTTTACACAGTTCACAGAAGCCAGAAAACTGATTATAATATTTTTGACCGGTAAGGGGATCGCAACCCTCGGCACGGTGTTGTCTGCACCACGCTTAGGATCCGAACCCGTGGCCTTGGCGCTACCAGCGCTGCACCCTCCTGAGTGAGTCACAGGGCCAGCCCAGTGATGGGATGTTCTAACTACTTACATCCATTGTGGTTCTAGAAATTTAAAAACAAAATCACCAGCAACAACTTCTAATGAATGAATCTATCAACAACAGTGAATTCTACTAAGAAAACATTTCTTTTTTAGAGAGTTTGGAGTGCTTTTTATAAATCAAGTTGGTTTTCGACTCTTTTTCAGCATGCTGATTTTTTCTGAGGCTAGAAAGAAAGTTTGAGAGGTTGTGCTCCATGCTTAGGTCAGAAAGCACTCATAGTGAAGACTTTAATCAGCTTTGCTGCCTCTTTCAGTCTTGGGTTATATCTGTAGCTTCCACAAAGGGTGGCGGTTTCCACCCTCACCATTTGTAAATGATGCCCCAGGCAGGCATTATGGAAAAGATCATGTTCCTTTGGGGTTGTTCACTGTGACTGTGGCTGAAGGAGTTTTTCCAGTTAGTTATCTACCCACATGCTATTCTAATATTTTCTCTCCTTCACTCACACTCTTTTCATGAATGAGTAAGAGCCTACTTCCTAAAATTACTGGGCTTAATTTTTTTTTTTTTTTAAGATGACCAGTAAGGGCATCTTAACCCTTGACTTGGTGGTGTCAGCACCACGCTCTCCCAGGTGAGCTATGGGCTTGCCCTAAAATTTTTTTTTTAATACAGTGTAAATCCACTAGGGTTCTTAGTCGCTGTCTGACTGCATTTTCTGTTGCTATAACAATACTTGAGATGTAATTTATAAAGAAAATAATTATTTCTTACGGTCCTGGAGACTGGGGAGTCCGAGGTCAGGGGACCACATATGGTGAGGGCCTTCTCCCTGGTGGGGACTCTGCAGAGTCCTGAGGCAGTGCAGGCATCACATGGTGAGGGCGTTCATGAGAGACAGGCAAACTGGCGCCGCCAATTTTTAAAGGCCTCACCTCTTCATACTATTTTACTGGGGATTAAGTTTCAACAGGAGTTTTGAAGGGGACAAACATTCAAACCATAGCAGTTGCAGATAACAGAATTTACTCTAGTTGTGTTAGAAATGAAGGATTTTTAAAAAGAGGAGGGCACGAACATTCAGTCCATAACAGGAACAGACTCTAAGTTGGATTGTCAGGAAGAATTCCCATAACTCCACCACAAATTGGCTGCTACTGACTTCCAAATCATGCTGCCTTTGCCATAACCAGGGAGCTGCTCCCACTATCAACCTTAGAGCCCCCTCCCTGCCGACACCCAAGTGTCATCACACCTGCCGACACCCAAGTGTCATCACAAAGGATGCCTGCACCTTATCTTTTTTCACGTAACTCAGGTGCATCAGTCTCTGAAGTAAACTTTCCAAACTGGAAGATATAGTTTTTAAAAAGTCTATGTTGAGGGCCGGCCCGGTGGCACACTGGAGAGTGCGCCACTTGGGAGTGTGGCGGCGCTCCCGCTGAGGGTTTGGATCCCATGTGGAGACCGGTTCCCGCTCACTGGCTGAGCG